TTCCTTTGTTGGCCTATCAAACAATCTTCTCATAGTAGCTTTTTTGAAACATCAATGGGCCCTACTTTTATTAGGGAGTAGGGGAAGGGATTTGCCCACTGGCCAGATGAAAAAGCTTTTGTTCGGGCTATGAGTAACCAGGGGACCTTTGATATCAAAGCAGGAATGCCGCCATTGACCCCTTCTTTGTAGGCCGGGGTCTTAAAGGGAAGCGGTGTGTGAGGGGCAGATGAACTTGTGGTGAAAGACTGATTATGATTCCTCTGCTCCCTCCTCCTGTTTTCCTCCGATCACAGGCTCAGTATGGAGTCAAGAAACCATGTCGGAGTATGCATTTGTTAGATTCAGTTACAAAGCCTCAAAGAGCTCACGTTGTTTTTTTCCAGTTGTTTTGGCTGAATTACATATTTAATATGTACAGGAGGTCAGGATAGTGTAATCTAAAATGTGCAACCATATTTTAGTGGCTGGGGCGTAGTTCATTTTATATTTATTAAGCAGTCACGCAGCAGAGGACAGTCAGGAGATGAAGTGAAATGATAAAGTATTGCAGGAAAGACCTTGGTGGGTTACATTAGCTTAACAGCAGCAGTGGTACAGCAGCTCTCTCACAGTAAGTGTGTGCTGAATCATATAAACAAACCTTGAGAGATATAAAAGGACAAAAGAAAAGTACCTGTTCTTTATTGAAATGACAAGGATTAGACAATATATCACTGGTTTGTGTCGCAGTGTACAACCGAAGGCACTGTTGTCATTGATTATATAGCTAGACTACCACTAATTGTCTGAATGAGAACAATGAAGAAACAATGCACACTTAAAATAACAATGCAGCTATTAAATGATATTCTGGTCCTACAACAATACCACGGATTGTTTCCAACTGTCAACCTCAGTGGGTTTCTTTTTTTGTACAAAGAAGAAGAGATGCAGTCTTTTCTTGTTCCTAATATCTGTTTTTTGTGCCTCTCCGCCACAGCTGAAGATACAAGACTGATGCCTGGGAGACACACTGTCTGGACCAGGAAGTGAGTGATGAGGGAGAGAAAGAGAGAGAGAGAGAGAAAGAGGCAGCTCTGTGGTAACACACTGAGACTGGGCTCCGCCCATCCCGCCCAGAGAGACTGAGTGACAGAGCAACAGCTCCGCCATTCTCTCCACCTCCCCTTCCACCTGTACTCCAACCCCACCCTGCAGCCCTGTCACTGCAATGTGACGTCCCACCACCATATCCTCACCCACTCACTCACTCACTCTCTCACACACACTCACACTCACACTAAAGCATGTCCTGTGCCTCAGAAGCATCCCATCTGGCTTGTAATCAGTCTGATGTATGTTCAGTGTCTCAGTGACTTTCCATTGCCCTTGCTGCATTAGACAAAAAGTCTGCAACCTGGTTGAGTGTGCATCTGTTCGTGTGTGTGTGTGTGTGTTTGTATGTGTATAGTAGCCAGAGTGAGATGGTGTCAGAAGGTGAAGAGATGGAGGATTATTATCTTGTATATTGTATTTATATCTTGAGTATTCTTTCATTCACCTGTCAGTTTTTATTTTTTGTTATTGTATGGACATTGTTGCCTGTTTTTAAGATTCCCTTATTAAGCTGTGATACATCAGGTATTCTTTTAAAGCAACATTGACAGTCAATTTAACAGTTGACGTTATCTAAAAAGTTTCTAGTGAAATTTACCAAAACAAATGTGACACTGTTGCATACAAGCGACCTGTGTATCACAGCTTTAAAAGTCATTTTCAATGATTATTTCAAGACATTGCAGCAATTATAACTAAACCATGGTACAAGTGTGATTCCACTGACAGTAAGTGATAATACTGACAACATGAGGGCAGACAGTATGATGATATCTACCAGAAATGCACCACGTGTTTGACTTTTGACACATTCTTGATCATCACAATGTGTTCTCACTCTGCACCCGGCAAAATACTCAATAAGCTTCATGTAGATAAGACAAAAAAAACCACTGCCTGATTTACTGTGAAAAAGACATTGTTACACATTGTTTCATGTAATAATACAATAAAATACTATTATAACACCCTCATTTGATCATGTGGCAGAGGTATTTGGTAAACAGTGATGTGTAAAGGATACATAATGCCAACTTGTGACACTGGAAGAGTCATACTGCTTAGACACGTGCATGTAAGAAACACAAAGCATATCATGTTCTCGGTGTTAATGGCCATGTTTTCTGAGTAACTGTGTGTGTGACATACTGTTTGTATTATTTGTGTGTAGCGCTTTTAAGTTTAACACCTTCCTTACTACACAATATTTATATTTCTTGATTAAAAGAAAGTATATTGACGCCCTCTGTTGCCTTCAAAAAGTAGTGCACCCTTTAGTCTTCAGGCATTTTGTGTCATTTTGACTAACTGTTTTAACAAGGGGCGATAAAACATAAAAATTATACTTGTTCAGTCCTGTCTTATGGTACCTGCCCTTGTGTCCTGTTCTTCACCCAGCATGATAGCTCAGGTTTCTATAAACTGGCACCGGGGAGGACGTAGACTCACTGGTTTGGGGATTTAGAGAGGCACAGCAGTGTCTGACTGCTTGGTACCAGGAGTAAACTCAAATGCTCATTTTATTCTTAATTTAAAAGCCAAATCAAGTTAAGATCAACCAAGCAGTCATGGTCCTTTCATTGCTCACAGGATAAGACATCAGTTGCATCCAATTAAATTCCTTAAAGCATCTACTCAGCTACTTTGGGTCACGCATCAGACCTGAGTAATAAGGTCAGGGTTATTTTGCAAGTTTATTGGAAAAGTGGGAGGTTTTTTTTAGGATGGAGGAATATCTGAAGCATCCAGTTTCACCACCAAAGCAAACATGACTATGGGTTACACCGATATTTATTTCCAACCAAATTTCTGGCAAACTTGCACTGCGTTAATCATTCAGATAACTTTATATTTATCTGTGAGTGCTTTTTAATCCACTGATTTTAATTTGGTGGCTGACATGAGGAGTTCTGGAAGCTCACATTTCACTCTTTTCATTTCACTCGCTTTATGACCAAACAAGAGAAAGATCAGGAAGTACACGGACCCCTGTTAGGTCACCACTTCCCTTTACTTTGACTCTAGAGGGTGTGTCACATTCACACTTGCTTTATGTAAAAATAAACAATTAAATAAGGTAGAGTGAACTAAAGACTTTTGCTATTGTTGCATAATGTAAAGCATTTTAGTTGGGGCACCAGCCCACTTCAGTCCTCCCTGCTTTTTGTAACACACTTAACTGTGAACCTGTTAACATTTGTACAGATTGTTTACCTACTGTATGTACTTAAAAATCATATTGTTGTAATATTAACTAATAACCTGCAGCCATTCAGCATAATATTCATGTAGCATGGTCTTAGCTGTGTTTTATATTTTCCAAGCTGTTAATAGTAAGGATACAGAAACCTGTCTATATTTCATTCAATAAAGTTAGAGAAAACCGGTGTGAGTTTTGTATTAATCCCTGAGCCTAATACATAATCAATCACTACAAAGACATTATCTACCACTGGAGCAAAGGTAAAACTTAACAGTGATTGACTTAAAACATGGTTTATAACACATTATAATGCATTTGTAAGGAGATATAAGTGTTATAATGTGACATACAAACATAAATGAATGACATAAGTGTAATAATATCGAATGTGTCTTCATAGCAGGTTAGAATTTGACAAATACAACAAATTAATAAACACGTCACAGTGTGTTGTAAATAAATTTGAAATTAAATCTTTATAATTGCCTCTAAATGTTGAATAGATGGACAACATGGCTCCAGAAGCTGTTCTGTTGAGGTAAAGACAAGATCCGCAATTATAAAAAGACATATTTTTATTGTTCTTCACTGAAAAAAACTTGTTTATACAGAAAATTACTCACATTCCTGAGAACACAGACTGATCACAGTAGATGTCAGATGGGCATTAGGGAGTAAAGATCATGGGATGGAAATGAAATGATTATTCTTTGATAAACAGTGGACAGAAAAGACAATGTGACAACTTCTCATCTTCCTGAGATACTGAGATGTTTTGAACACGTAACATGCACAACCATTGAGTTACAAGACTGGTGTGGCAGAAGAACAATTACAACTTGATCAAAAAAAATGAGGAAGGATTTAGACTTTTCAAAAATGTGTGCATATTTCTGTGTATCAACTGAGCTCTTAGAAATGAATGTCAGTAGTACAGCATTTCAGTTCCCTCAATAAAACAAGCTTGAATCAAGACACATAAGAATCCTTTCCTTGTTAGTCCATACTAAAACACTCGTAAAGTTAAATTCACAGATATTTGTGGGTTTTTTTTTTTGTTTTGTTGTGTGAACCAAACTGTGATGGAATATTAATTCATGGCAAAGATGGCCATATCATTGCCAAGCACACCACAAAAACACTAGTAAAGATATTACTTCAAATTTGACAGCCTTCCCCCCTTCACTAGACCTGAGTAGACAAATAAGACAAACAGCTCCATCTAGCCAAACACTGGGCTCATCGCATCAAAAGCAGCAACTGCTTTTTCAATACTTGATACAATCAGATATAACAATTAAACATCCCAATTAAACCAAATTGGACCTGGGTCTCATTCTCGCTGTCACTAACCAACCTGCCGACATACTTGAGGCTGAGTGAAATTGGCTCAAAAGAAACAAAATGACTACACATATTAAACATACTAGGGATGGGCATTTTTTTAATATTCTCTCATAATTATAAAAATAATAAAAAGATGGAGGAAAAAAAGTCAATAAATCCAACAAAAGATTAGATTTAAAATCATTTTCTATATCACACATTAATCAGCTTTTGTGTGTCCTAATTAGGAAATCTGCTTTGAAATATATATTGGAAAATATGTTAGAAAAAATCAGATTTAAAAAAAAAAAAAGGTTAGATGAGAGAAACTATTTTTGGTATTTGCAAACATGTGAGGCTGGATAACGTTGGAGGGATTGTTTCACCAAACAATTTATAGGTTTCGCAGCAAAAAAAAGCAATGCTGTAGCAATAACAATGGAACGTAGAATTTATTTCCCACTAGAAGGAACAATAACAATATTAAGACAGTTTTACAAGCCTTCCTAAAATAACTTCATCTTAATATTCAAATATGTAAGGATAAAAACAAATGAAAAATAATAATCTCCATGATATGTATAGTTGAGTAGTTAGCCTAATTGGAAGATTTTGTTCCTGAACAACTTGTATTATGCTACCTGTGCTACTGTAACATTTCACATGTTTCAGCATGACAAATTATATAACTGCTACACATTAATTGAACATGTATGTAAAGAATTCTTCACAATTTCCAGTCATCAGTAGTACATAAAACGTCTTTCTGGTATCTCAAACAATCAAGGTTGTTGTAAGTTATAATAAATAGCATATTTTATATTCCCATTAACACATATGTATCCAGACAGATAGGTGTATATATATATATATATATAGAGAGAGAGAGAGAGAGATCATACTATATTTCTGGCTAACAGCCTCTCATTAAAGCTAACTCTCCCTGTGTCACACTGTCATCCATGCCTGAGTTCATATGACCTCCACACTGACAGGTGGAGCACGCAAACTCTACTCCCTCTACATCACACCAGGTTTACCTGCGTATTTTTTTCTATAAATGACTACTTCTTCCTTTTCTGATTTGGACAAAGTTAAAGAAAAAATATACATGTCAGACGGTTTTAAAGGATACAGAGAAAATGTTTCCCTTTGCACAAAATGAATTAGAGAAAGCAATTAGCACAAATTTGGCAATGGGAAGAGACTCCCAAACAATCTTTTACTTATAACCCCTTTTAACCTATTTCTTGAAGAAATTAAAGATAAATTTATCATGCCCATCCCTAATATATAAACTTTAGCAAAACCAAATGTAATCCTATTTTGAAGGCTATTTGTCAATTAAAATACACACGTAACTTTTGCAATATAAAATAGTCTTTGTAAATATAGCATTGTATATAAAATTAGAAAAGCATGTCAAACAAAAATGAAGGGCCTTTAGCAAATTATATGAAGACAAGATGAACAATATTGTACAGGACAGCCTCCCATCAATGTACGTGTGTCTGACTGGAACATGTTGCTTTGTGAAAGAGTGATACAACACAAGTGAGAATGAGTAAAGAATCAAAGTGGCTCAACTGTAAACACAACAACAACTCTTGCTTGTTGTGACCAACTTTCAGTGGCCAAATTCTTATTATGAAGAGCAACTGTGCTTTAATATGGTGTAATGACATATGAACCATGATCAGTCAAAAAAAAAAACACAGAGTAAAACAACTAAAAACGGCAGCTGAGATGGATGTAAATGATGTTCATTACATGTCAAGGTATTCATTCTGCTGAGCCAAAACGCCAACCAAAAACATGAATGGAAGACAAATGTACTTTCCTGCATATTAGGCATTTATTCAAAAAAACAAGAGCACAGATTGTCTCAGGTCTGAATATATTGTGTGCTTTTTTGCTGGATTATAATCTATTCCTGATGTGCAGAATCAGCATCTCATTTATGACCAAGAAGAAAGGGCTCTGTGCAGCTCCAGAGGGATTGTTAGTAGCTGGCACCTCTTTCTCCTCCTCAAATCTAGCAACAGCCAACTCATCTCACAAGCAGCTGTCTCCTCCGGAACAGTCTCTGCTTCCTCTTCCTTTTAAATTCAAAGTCCGCCTGTGTAGCCTTACCACAATGGTAGCTCAATGTGCCACAGCCCAACGTGTGAGAGTCTAATACCGATGTACACAAATTATAATCTGAACGTCTCCATCATTGAACTTAACCTCGGATCAAATGTTAATGTTATTTGCTTTTCTAATGACGTTGGACTTAACTCCAGAGAGCTACAGGCTAATTACTTTACTATTTAAAATACTGTTTTTGTCATACTCTGGGCCAAAACAAAAAAAAAATTTACTAAAGAAACCCCCCCAAAAAATGTTTTAGTAGATTGAGAGCCTCCAACATACATACCCTGACTAACTTCAGCTTTATCTTACCTATTAACCATAATTTAGAAAATACACATACATGTTAAAAATGACAAATACACAGTTTTGGCACTACTCTACGAGGATTTCCTCAGTCTTTATGGGTTCCAATGGGGTTCCAGAGTTGGACAAATCAGAGCCTTCATCTTTGGAAAACTCTTCACGTTGGAGCAGCATCCCTGCGCCCGTGTTTCCCTGCAGCCCCACTAATCCGCCTTGGGCGAAGCACAAGTGTTTGATCACCTCGTTGGGACTGCCGAAGGTCGTCGCGCAAATGTTACACTTGTAAGGCTTTGACGACCCCAAGAACATCGCCTCCATCTGGCTGCTGTCGTCGCCTGCGGCGCACAACTCCATGCTCTGTCGGTCCACCATGGTGTAGGTGTCGGCCCCCTGGTTCAGGCACACGTGGCGGGCTGCCTGGTTGGCCCGGCAGAAGCTCTTGCCACAAGCGCTGCATTTGAAGGGTTTGCCCGTGTGGATGTACATGTGTTCACGCCAGTGGCTCTTCTGAATAAACTTGCGCCCACAGGTGGAGCACTCGTACTTCCGCCGCTTCACTTCCCTGTCCAAGTCGGCGCTCTCCAGGTTGTCGATGTCCGCAATGTCCGACGGAGGTGGAGTGTCTGCCTGAGAATTTAATCCTCCCACCCCCCAGCTGGAGGTGGGCACCTCTGCTCGGGGAGAGTCCGAGTTGGTACCTGAAACAGGCGTTTGCTCGCTGTCGCTGATTATCTCTACTGCTGTATTGCAAGCTGAGGCACCTGACCCCGCCTTGCTTCCCTTAAGGACCCCCTCTAACTCGAGCAGGCTATGCTCTGCAGTCATGACAGGTGAGAGTGCATTGCTGGATTCAGCTTGTATCTGCTGCAGAGCCTGAGTGTGTTGGAGGAGATGCTCTCTCAGCAGGCTTCTCTGGGTGAATCGGGTCCTGCACAGATGACAGGAGTAATGCTTCCTAAAGGAGGAATTCCTCTTCATGATGCTGGGCTTCACATGGAGGATGGCGTTGGCTGAGGAACCATCCGCGGTCAGCAAGTCCATTCCCCCCTCCTCAACTGCAGGCTTGGTGCCGCTGGTCGAAGCCTCCACACCAAGGGGTGAGGAAGCCAGCTTGGACGGTAACGAATCTGCGTACGAAGCTGTGGCAGCTGCCGTGGACGGATACTTCCCCTCTGAGCTCAGGTGCTCCATGTCAAACGGTGAGGAGAGCTGCCGTCGAGTGGGCAACCGAGCTGCCAGCGCCACCTGTTGGTCAGAGATCTGGATGCCGTAGAGGGAGGTGGAAAGGTTGATGCTGTGCTCAGGGTGTGAATACACAGACTGGCTGGCCTCCTGCAGGAGCGGATAGGCATGCAGGAATCTGACCCCCTGCTCCAGCCGTGCAGGGTCTATCAACTGGGGTGCCAGCTTGCCTGTGTACATCAGGTTGAGGAGGTAGCTGAAGATATCTGGCTGTATGTCAGCAGCCTTCAGGCGCACACAGTCACTAAAAAACAAACACGTTACAGTTAACTCACGACATTGATGTTTGAGGTACCAGCAGCACCAGTTGATACAGGTCTTCAGCTGCCAATAGTTAAAGGGACACTTCACCCATTTGCATTAAGCTTTGTATCGTTAGAAAC